CTGGCGGCCCCCCGGGGGAGGGCCTTCTCTGTTGCTGCTCCGGCCCTGCGGAACGATCTACCTGTAGAGATCCAGACCCTCACCTCTCTCCTGGCCTTCCGGAAAGCCGTCAAAACCTGGCTGTGCCGGCAGGCCTGGGGATGATGAGTTGCCCTCCCCTCTCGACTTGTATTGCTGTGTGGCTCTTGTGTATTTTAATTATATGTATTGTGTTTGTATCCCCTTTTCCCCTTTTGAGTTGTACGCCGCTCTGAGTCCCTCCCGGAGAAGGGCGGCATACAAATAAATTAAATCTTAATCTCCCGGCCTTCCGTAAAGCCGTCAAGACTTGGCTGTTCCGGCACGCCTCGGGCTGTTGATTGATATCCAGCCCCGCTTAGATGGAATGGATGATGTGGAATTTTAATTGTATTTTCTATTCTTAAATTTTAAATGTTCTTTGTCTTGTTGTGAGCCGCCCAGAGTCCCTATGGGAGTGGGCGGCATAGACATTTTATTAAACTCTAAACTCGAAACCCTTATCCTTCCCCACCTCTTGGGGCTGCTCCAAGAGAAGGAGTAGCTGCTCCGCTGCTCTTCTCAGCTCTGGCCAGAGGAAGCTGCCTCTTACCTCTTCCTTTCTCCATGGCTGCAGCGCCCTCATGGAGAGCCTGATCAACCCCCTGCAGGAGAGGATAGAAGACTGGAAGAAGACGGCCAACCAGCTTGACAAGGACCACGCAAAAGGTAGGGCTGCCCTGTGGAGCCAGGGGCTGGGGCCACGCAGGGAAGGAGGCTGGCAGGGCGTGGGGGGGCTTGCAATGGCTGGAAGTGGGGGAAAGTTGTGGCCCACAGGGCTTGCCTTCTGCCCTTGGGAAAGTCTATGGCTGTGGTGTGGGGAGCCTCTCCCTGACCACAGAAGGGGGAGGGCAGCCGAGAGAGGAGCTTCACAGTGGCCTCTTTCCTGCCTCTTCAGAGTACAAACGAGCCCGCCATGAGATAAAGAAGAAGTCTTCCGACACACTGAAACTTCAGAAGAAAGCCCGCAAAGGTGAGGATCTCAGGAGGTGGAAGGAACTATTGGGTGGCATTGAGGAAGTGAAGAAGAAGAGAAGCCGTTTGGCGTCTCCATAGAAGAGGGGATGTGCAGGGATAGCGGCCAGGCTGGGAGAGCTGCACCTATATCCCCGCAGGATTGGAAAAGTGCAGCATTCATTGGAACTTGCATTCAGCTGCTGTTGGCCTGAAAGCAAGAACGCCTGGGTTGCAGCTGACATCTAGAATGTCAGAAAGACGGTTGACGATAGCACCTAGAAGCCATCTTCCCTCTTCCCCGTGTTTATCATTGGCCTTCCTGGCCACGGCACTCTGGAAGGAGCAGAAGATTGGAAGCCGGCAGGAGGGCTGCAAGCCAAGGAGAGGAAGCAGCATCTGAGCGCCTGTCCGCTGGCTTCCCCTGGACTGGGGTGGAAAAGAACAGATGTTTCCAGAAGCTTCTGCTTCTGGTACTTTCTGCAGAGGGAGGAGAGGAGGAGGAGCCTTCCTTTGAAGATTGTCTGGGACCTGAAATGGGCTCAGGGTGGCGATTTGGAGCATTCTCCGATTTCGCTCTCCTTGCTCAGGGGAATCTCATGTTCCATCCAGATGTGACCAAAAAACTAAGCGCTGAGAGGGGGAAGGGCAGGTTGCAGTAATGCCTTGGAGGGGGGACTTTTATTTTGTAAGAGGCAAAGGGGTTTGGGCAAGGGGAGGGGAGGGGAGGGGATCTGTGTAGATACCGGCCCTTCTTTCACTCATTCTCGTCTTTCTCCTCTTTTTTCCTTCCCACATTCCTATGTAGAGCTACTTGGTAAGTCAAATGATTCCAACCCAGCTTCCTCTCTCCCTCCCTCCCTCCCTCTCTCCCTGCCTCCTCCTCCTTTGCTTTGTGATCTCTTTCTTCACCATCCCACCAGCTGGGCCTGAAATGAAAGAAAACCTCAAATGAGGGGCCACCATAGCTGGATCCCTTGAGGTTCCCAGGGACCTTGGTTCTCCTTTGGAGAGAAACTTTCACCTTCCCCTCGCCCCAGGAAGCCTGATGAAGCCCTCATGTAGGGTAGCTCACACCTTATATGGTATATGGCCGTGTGAAAAAAGCAGCGCTGCTTCAGGAGTCCCACTTGTATCAATGGCTTCTTTTCTGCTCTCTTGGCAAATCCCCTGAATACACTCACTTCCCTGACCTCAACGCAGCATCATTGGACCCTATAGATCAAAGGAACCATCAAGTCAGACACAAGGCTGAGCACAGAAATCCAGACTTCCTGAGCTCTGGACCTCTAGTCTGTGAGGAAGAACCCGCCAGTTCTCTGAGTCATTATTCACAGTCCAACTTGTCTTTATTGGGAATTTGTAAACCTTTATTTTTGTAAAAATAAGTAAAAAGCTTTTACATATGCAGATTAAGACATTTCTGTATTGCCCTAATTCATCACAAGAAGGCCACTTACGTGGTGAACTTAAACCTGAAATCTGCCTCCTTGTTACTGGAACCTGTTATTCTGGGTCTTGCCCTCTTGATACGAGATAGAACCAGTCTTGTACGTGTGGAACATCCTTTCAGGACATTGAAGAGGGTCCTCCTGTCCCCTCTCAAGCTCTTTTCATAGGATCTGGCTTCTTATTTGGTGGACACCCTCCTTGCCCTTCTCCAATTTTGCTAAATCCTTCTTGAAGTGTGTGATCAGAGCTGGATTTGCTGCAGAAAGTGGATCTAACCAAAGCAGAATGAAATGGATCCTTGACTTCTGGTTTGGAAGATATATTCCTGTTGCTGCAGCTGAAGGCTGCAGACCGAAACGAGTCATCTTTTGAGATGCCAAATATTTCCAATATTCCTGCCCTGCTTCTGTCATTGTCATTGGGAAGGTTTTGCTTTGCTTTGGATTTTTTGTGCTCAAATCAGCTAATGGCCGATCTCTCCTGGTGGCCGACTGGACAAGTCACAGCAGTTTTCTTAGCAAGGCTTCTCAGAAGCGGTTTGCCATCGTATCCTGTCTGAGCCTGAGAGGAGGGGGCCGGCCCAAGATTACCCTGCTGGCTTTGGGCCCAAGGTGGGATTGAACTCACTGTCCCCTGGTTTCTAGCCTGGTGCCCCCACCACTAGACCATATATTTACGAAAAATTGCACGAAACCTACTTCTTGGGTGCCCTAACACAGGTTTATGGCCCATGGGGTACATGGCAGCCCAGGTGGCACTTGGCTTGCACATCATCATACTCATTTGCTTCACCTTTTGCCCTGGCTTGGAGTTGAGACATTCTGTCCCACTGGAGGTGTTCAACTGTCAGGGCTGCCTTTGATCTGTTAAGAGAAGAGAAGGGAGGGACCTTGGAGGTCTTCCAGTCCAACCCTCTGCTTAGGCAGGATACTCTACAGACAAACAGATATCCAATATCTTCTTAAAAACTTTCAGTGTTGGGGCATTTACAACTTCTGGAGGCAAGTTGTTCCAGTCAGGAAATTTCCCTTAGTTCTAAGTTGCTTCTCCCCTTGATTAGTTTCCACCCATTGGTTCTTGTTCTACCCTCAGGTGCTTTGGAGAATAGTTTGACTCCCTCTTCTTTGTGGCAGCCGCTG